TTAAAGGGAGTTTTTCCTCCCCACTGTCGCCAAGTGCTTGCTCAAGGGGGATTTGTTGGGTTTTCCTGTAATAATAATGATAACAGTAAGGTCTAGACCTTACTTTGTAAAGTGTCCTGAGATGACTTTTGTTGTGATTTGGCGCTATACAAATAAAATTTGATTTGATTTATTTTAGGTGACGTAGCACCCCCTAATTCCAAATGTCATTTTAACCATAAATACAAATAATCATGGATCAGAGGACATTGCTCCTTTGACCATACACACAAGCCACTTCTTGCAAAACTCAGCTGGCGAGCCTCTGTAGCATAGAGCTATATCCCACTGAATTCATTCTTCGATTAGGTGGGGAAACATTATTCTGCAGGTGTTTAGCCCAGGAAAACCCATATTTCTACAATAATAATTTCCCAGTTCAGGTTATTTCCTGATATGGGAGGCCATGAGACATTGCACTGACACTGTGGTTGTAAACCTTGTCAGAGAACAGATTAAGATATTACTTGGAGAAGGCCGGAGTGGTCTTTATTTAGAGGACACACAGATGATGCATTGCTTATTTGAAATGATTAGAGGCAAAGAAGCATGACATGGTGGCAAGTGCAGGCAATCTCTCAGGGTAAACGAGCTAGAAACCAAATTAAATGAGCCTTTGGAATATGCAGGTTAGCAGGGCTAACCTCAGTAAAAAGGACTTTCCATTGTGCCCAAAAATGCACAGTATATCTGGGCTTTTGGATAGTGGAAAAATAAACTGGACACCACAAATGTGTTCACTATTTTCAGAATAGACAGCTTTTTTTTTTTTAGCTTACATCCTGCTACAGTATTTGTTTTTGTACTCACCATAATTAAGAAAATTCATTTTATTGTTATTGCTTTAGCTTGCTGGAACACATTTTATTTCCTGTTGCCAATTCAATTTCCACACAGTATGTAATAGCAGGAAAAGCACAGGTGTAATTGATAACATTAAAAAAGATTGGATTCCATTTAGCTGAGCTTCTTCCAGGGTCCTGGTGTTGTGTGTGTGTGTGTGTGTGTGTGTGTGTGCCAGCTTACTGTCACAGCTTATTGGAAACTTGGTGGAACTGAGTCATTGTTATAGAAGTTTGTTTCACCTGTGCTTTCCCCACTATTACATGCCAAAATGTCTGCTGTGAAAAAGGTCTGTTGGCTTGTCCCACTGCTGTTATTGTTGCTACAATTGGCAATCTTTCCATTCTCTCTCAACACATATGGATTATACAGTGTTAATAGTGGCTGATACTGTTTGAAGTTTTTGGCAGTTTGTGAGACAAAGGATCTTGATTATCACACGGTGCCAGATGATGTTGCTGGCGGATTTAAATATCTAATAAAGCTAATATTAGCTCCATTTTGAAAACGTTCGGGATGACTTTTTAATTTTTCCAGCTGAGTTGTTTTAAAACGAGAGCAGGACTTACTGTAAATACAGTATGTACTTGATATTGTACACCATATTGTGTTAAAGCTAAGCCTACAGTACACCCCATGTGATGAACCATGTTCAAGACACTGAAATAAAGAGGCAGTTATGTTGTTTTACTACAGTGTACAGCTTGTTAGCTCAGTAAAAACAACAGAAAGTCTATGATCAGGACCTTTATTCTAATTTAATTTTATTTGGCTGCTTAGTTTTTCCAAACAGCAGATTAAAATTTCACATTTAATGTTGCTAAAAAAAAATGAAACACTACTGTTAATCTGCAGTCTGAAAGCATCCAGCATCGGCTTCCTTAAGGTGGGGGAATACTACACCCTGGTTTTTAATGTAACCTTTAATCACACAAATTAATGCAGTGGCAGAAGGGCTTCAAATGTAGGTACTGTAGTACAGTAAGCTAGTCGGCTGGGCAGGCTAACAATTGCAATGAACATTAAAAGCAGACAAACACACTGTTCAGCACTTTACACGCACTGTTTCTCTTGTGTTTTTGGTTTTGTTCAAACCACTCACCCCCTCCAAACAATGCAAATAAAAAAGGTTCACCGACCTGTTTTGCCTTGCTGCTGTTGCTAAGCGATGATTGGATAACTGTGGTTCAGGAGAAGGAGAACAGTGCAGAACATGCTAGTGGTAATATAATTGATTTATTATACATTGCATGTCAATTAAATATGTTGCATAACTTAAAAAAAAAAGATTGTGGGTGTTTCTGGAACGTTTTGTTATTAAAGTTAAAAGCATGTCAAAAGACACTTTCATCCAGAGTGTTCTTCACAACCTGTCAAAATAAAACTGTCACATTTCTGGCTGAGCATGAAATAAAAAGCAAGCTTTCATCGGTTTCTGAAGGCCTATTGTCCAGCTGGCAGTTTGAAACAGGTATGGTACAAAGGGCTTGAAACCCGATGGAGGCATGAGGTGGATGTAAATTCAACAGATAGGTAATTGTGCTGGTGTAATTAGCAACTACTTTCACAAGACTACAAAAGAAAATGCATAGTTTTTATATTGGACTTTTCATTATTTGAATTAATGGTTAAAGTGTCAAATAAATGCAACAGAAAGAGAGAGAGAGAGAGAGAGAGAGGGAGACAGCTCACCATACTGTAAAAATGATTTTATTATTCTAATGATTATCATTGGACGGATATCATTTTGTGACTTTTTACAATATATTACTATCATTAGACTGTTTTATACATTGTTTTATATATTAATAACTTTCAAACAATTTTGTACATGCTTTTGGGAGTGACATTCCCTGGTCAAATGAAGCGGAAACATGAGAAAAAAGGCACATGATTGCTCCTGTCCACAGGGAGCAATACAGTCCAAAGAAACAACAAACTGTGGTGGTTTGGGTGAGTGCAGGTGAAATGTCTCCCCATCAGATGATGGGCAGCCTCGGTGAAGCCTGTTACATGTCTTGCCCAGACAGCACAATATGTCCACGGCAATTTTCCAAATCACATCCCAAAATAATCACTTGGATGTGGAAACTCATGGCAATTATGTCTTTTGATTTGCTTGCTCAGAAAAGACACAAACACACACTCTCCAAAGAGCTGAGAGTTTTACAGTAGAAATAAAAGAGTTATCAGGATTTTGGACCACCTTCAGGAGCTGCACTGCAATGTGGTGTCTTGTCTCTGTTCTCTGTATGTAGTTTGCTGTCAGAAATGTGGATCATTTCGAGCAGTGCAACTCGCCATAAGGTCTCTGTGAACACACAGCTCGGCAGGACGCATGAATTGATCATAGTCTTCTTTAGGACCTGGTGTTAGAAAGCTCTTGGCCTGAGGGATGCTCAGTGTGCAGTGCAGTCTGTAGTGTGAAATACACCACACTAGCACCGCCAGGCCCTGCTCTTCTATGAGTTGTCCACAGGTCCAACTTGAAACACTGCCCAAACTGTCTCAGAGGTTGTTCTCTGGCTTCAGTGTCTGGGATGTTTGATCCAGTTTCGTATCATCCACTTCTGACCGGAGCATCTCTGGACCACCAGACGAAGGCCAAAGTTGGCATCTTTGGACATTTCTACCTCCAAGCATCGGCCAGTGTCCCTGCTGATTATTGGACCATTCTGCAACAAAAACCACATGAAAACATGACTGGATTTGCACAGTAACTCTGAGAAGAACAGATGTGAGCAATGCTAAGAGATCATTTACAGAATAACTACCTTGGGCCTGTCGTTATGTTATGAGTTACTGTTATATTCGTTTAGTAATAGACAGTATATGTCGCTGTCGTATTGTAGCTTTCATTACATTTGCTGTTTGAAGTATGGCAGTGGTGAAGATCACAAAGACAGGTCATGTGTTTTCTTTATACCTGTGTGAAGTCCCAAAGCCTCTGGGAAATCCTTGAAACTACATCGCATTTCTTCAGACTGGGAGTACGTCCTCTGCCATCATCGACGAGGCATTTTGTGTCAGGCAGGAAGGTGGTCGAGCCCAGGGGTCCTAGCTGCAGCAACCCCTCAGTAGAGTAGCGGGCGAGCTGCAACACAGAGATAACCAGTGTGTTATACTGCTGGACTCTGCAGCAACAATCATAGCTTCAGGAAACCAACATTTTGTAGAGAGGACAGCAACATCTGTGCAAAGTACATGCTGTAAATGCACTTTGATGTGAAAAGTGAATGTGTTGTGCAGTGATGCTGTTTAGTTGCTCAGCCCTGAAAAGACAGACAGCAGGTGCTACATAAGCAAGAAGGCTGAAAAAAAGAGGTTTAAAGTTGTCAAGCTTGGTTGTACTGCATAATGTCTTCATGTTTATTTTACCCAGCTGCAATTTAGTCAACTCTTACTGCCATACAACCTATGTAACACCTAAAAAATGCAGATATTGCACTCTACCTTAAGAGAATCCTTACCATTTCAAGATTTATTTTTGAGTAAAACATATATGCAGCTCATAATGTAGAGAAATTAAATATACCTCTTTAACTAGGTGTTGTCTACTATTAATATTTAAATTGAAATTACCGTACTTTAAAGAATTAGTTTATAATTGTATACAAATAATGTGATTTAAAGTAGATTAAGTTCAGCATATCATATGAATTCCAGGTAAAGTATACGGTGTACCCAGAAGATGAGGAGAGGGGGATTTACCATATACCCATAGATATGTACTAACTGTTACAGGGCACATCTTGCAGACTAGAGGCATGTTACAGTTTTTTATGTATAGGAATCTGTTGTGTTTTCTGTGAACAGGAGTCTAAAGCATGAATCGGACCACACGTTTCTGTCCAAACAAGCCCGACACAGTTGAGTTTGTATGGTGTTTCCCCCTTCTCATTAAACAAAGCAGACATTTGAGTTCTCCAGCCGTCTAGCCTAAGGTTTGATTTACGTGTCCAAACCAGACCTGAAAATAATTTCTAAATTTCTGTCCGAACCCGGCCCGTTCACAGATCCACACTCCAACTTAGACTTAGTCTTAGTGTTTAGGGCAGTGCCTCCCCACAGGCAACATAAGTACAAATCACACAAGTCAAATTCCTCGTGTGTTCAACACAACTGGCCAATAAAGCTGATTCTGATTCTGAAGTACCCTTTTAAATCTGCACAAACACGGGGACAAGCGCTACTTTAAGGATATACTTGGACTGATGTTATGTTACATTAAGCTCTGTGGGAGCTTTGTAGCTCACACAGCTACAAACACGAAGAAAACAAGTAAAAACCATGTAATAGAATACAACAGTAAACTGCAGCACCATGGTAATAGTTGATCACTGCTGAAGGAAGCATATAGATCCTAAGGTTACTGCAACCTAAATATACGCTCTTGCTAGTAAAGGTTATCACATTCTACCTGAAGGGTCGTATGTACTGTAAATGAAGGCTGACTGTTATAGAGACTGTACCACCTACAGTGGGTACGGAAAGTATTCAGACCACCTTAAATTTTTCACTCTTTGTTATATTGCAGCCATATGCTAAAATCATTTAAGTTCATTTTTTTCCTCATTAATGTACACACAGCACCCCATATTGACAAAAAAACACAGAATTTTTGACATTTTTGCAGATATATTAAAAAAGAAAAACTGAAATATCACATGGTCATAAGTATTCAGACCCTTTGCTCAGTATTTAGTAGAAGCACCCTTAGGAGCTAATACAGCCATGAGTCTTTTTGGGAATGATGCAACAAGTTTTTCACAGCTGCATTTGGGGATACTCTGCCATTCCTCCTTGCAGATCCTCTCCAGTTCTGTCAGGTTGGATGGTAAACGTTGGTGGACAGCCATTTTCAGGTCTCTCCAGAGATGCTCAATTGGGTTTAAGTCAGGGCTCTGGCTGGGCCATTCAAGAACAGTCACGGAGTTGTTGTGAAGCCACTCCTTCGTTATTTTAGCTGTGTGCTTAGGGTCATTGTCTTGTTGGAAGGTGAACCTTCAGCCCAGTCTGAGGTCCTGGGCACTCTGGAGAAAGTTTTCGTCCAGGATATCCCTGTACTTGGCCGCATTCATCCTTCCCTCGATTGCAACCAGTCGTCCTGTCCCTGCAGCTGAAAAACACCCCCATAGCAGGAGGCTGCCACCACCATGCTTCACTGTTGGGACTGTATTGGACAGGTGATGAGCAGTGCCTGGTTTTCTCCACACATACCGCTTAGAATTAAGGCCAAAAAGTTCTATCTTGGTCTCATCAAACCAGAGAATCTTATTTCTCACCGTCTTGGAGTCCTTCACGTGTTTTTTAGCAAACTCCATGCGGACTTTCATGTGTCTTGCACTGAGGAGAGGCTTCCGT